TCCTCTCAGAGTTCAATGATCCATCAACACTACAGACTTTCTAATGGGCTGTCTGATGTATTTGGAAAGATTTCATCAGCAGTGTATGTATTTTACCAAAAGTTTTTTTGGCTGGCCTTGTTGTGGTTTTACACTTCACCACAATGTAAGTATTCTAAGTAAGTATATTCTTTTCTGTTTTCGTCATTTGTACATGAGTTCTGCTGAATACAATATTCTCAGTGTATCTTAACACTGTCAAGCTGATAAGTAATTCATAATTCATAGAGAAATAAAATTATTTTATTCTTTGAAAATTAAAAAGGTATGTTACATCTCTCTGACTACACTCTCTTGATGGACAGAAAGTGCTATGGTACCACCTACTGGAAACAGTGAATATTCTTTGTGTCTCCAATGTTCACTTGATCTTTTAGTGTTAAGAATTGCATATGTACGGAAGTTCCTCAGACTCAGACAAAATATTATGCCTATATGTATGAATTTCAGAATGCTTTAATGGTTTGTTTTATACGTTTGATACTCCTCTACCTGCTTATAAAGCCACTTCTGTAGGACAGAAGGAGAGTAGGCTTTATATCAAACCTAATCAACTGCTTCCCATTTTGTATATCCTACAGCTAAGTGAAGGAGATGTAATGAAGCCACCACAAAGCTATGGAAACAAAGTCTTTCCTGTAATCCATCGACAATATATTTATTTCTTTTCAAGTAAAGAAAATAGAGAAACATTTATGAAAAATCCCATCAAATATATTTGTCAGCCAAAACCTAAACCAACTGTGCCAGTTAAGATTGCAATTGTGGGACCTCCAAAATCTGGAAAGACTACAGGTAGGACAAGTATTACCTATAAAACAAAACCTTATCTAATAACTATGTATCTGTCATTACTGCTATTAAAAAAATCATAAACCATTAATACTGTTAGTCTTCCTGCTTTTCTTGCTGGGCATAGATTCTTTTAGTTCCATTCTCTAGTGTCTTGACAATCAGGTACTTATGCATTGTCCATCTGATTTCTATCCCAGCTTCTTAAGAAGTTAGTGACCTGGACTATCACGTAAGAAACGTGGACTTACACTATCTGTACATCCTGTATTATTTCAGTTATTTTCTAATTTTTTTTTATTTCTTTCTGTCAATATGATCTAATGTAAAATGAAGCCATATTCTTATTCTATATATTCTGGTCCTATAATATAGGACGAGAACCCAAACCTAAATCTCACTTTCCCCAGTCTGTTTCCAAACTTGTAGATTTTCTTTCTCCCCTCCTTCTTTCTCTGTGACTCTTTCAACTCACAGGTCTCTGCCTTTAACTGGGGAAGCTGAAAATTCAGCTTACACCATAGCTTAATGGTTAGAATAAGATACTAGAAAAAGAAGAGATGGGTTCAAATTATCCCGGATTAAGGAGGAAATTTTAACCATATTTCCTGGGAAACTGATCTTATTGCTAGGTTGTTTTGTAAAAGGGATGTGTTTTCTAAAATGTTTTGTAATACTGACTACTGCTGCTGAAGTTGTTGAATTGCAGTTCAATTGCAATTGAGGTGTTGAATTGAATGCTGTTAGTGCATTGGACATGCTCTGCACATGTCCATGCAAAAGTTTGGGCCCTTGAGGGTGCCCACTCACCAAGATTCTGCATTGGCAATAACCCACGGAATGAGCTGAGCAGTTAACTTCTAAGACTAAGGACGTATTTTAGCAGAATAAATTGTGATGTTGCTTACATAAAAGTTGTGTGTTGAAATCAAAATGTTTTCCAGTTGCCAAGAAACTTGCAAGTGTATATGGGTTACTGCGTCTGAGTATAGGAGATGCCATGCGGCTTGTGTTAAACAATCAGCCTGAGAGTCAGCTAGCACTTACGTTAAAGCAGCACCTTCAGAAAGGACTGACCGTACCTGATGCACTGGCCATCCAGGCTCTAGATGTGGCCCTGATGAACCACGTGTGTAATACCACTGGGTAAGAGTCTTGTTTGCGTTTTGGGTTGTTTTTTTTCAAGACATGCCTGTCTCTTCATAGGCAATGATTCCCATGTTATCACTAAAACAACACTGAGATACATCAGTGGTTTATGCATTAACAAAATAATGCATACAAAATGACCTTCTTCACGTTACTCTGGGAAAGCAGACTGAAGTATAATTTTCTGCAGTTTTCAAGTAAGTATATTCCAGTAAATCCAAATAATATGCTCGATGGAAGTTACCCTTCTTAGGCAATAAGCCACTATTTCTATTATCCTTTGGGAACTACCATTTTCTCTCTCTTAAACCAGCTCCAGTACCAACTCAGGCATCTGATTCTCTCTGGTCACGTTGACTGGTTCAGTACTCATTGTTTTTTCTGGTTTTGTTACAACTGAAGTTATTAAGGAGGAACTGAAACCAGCAAGTTGTTCCACCTCATTCCTATGTGATCCTGATTTCCTAGGCTCTTTCTCCACCACTAAAACATCTTCCATACTGGGCAGACTTAAAAAGCTTCAGGATCATTATTTTATGACATTCAATTCCTCTATCCAAAAAGGAGAACTGTTTATAGGGAAAGGCAATTCTGGAATAATCTCTGAAAAGTATTTGAGCTTGAGAGCAGAATTCTTTCAACACTTCTTTCATGTTAAACACCAGAATATTGTTTCAATATATTTTGTCCCAGTATTGCCTAATAAGTGAAAAGCATTTCTTCTTAAATACAATTAAAGATTCTTCAAGTAATGTATATCATTTTACTTCTACTTTAAAAATTATTCCTCACAATCCATATGGAGATTTTCACACTTAAAATTATGTTTCTGAAAGACTGATGTGTCAGAATATTAAAGTCTGTCACTTTTATAAGTCAGAGCCATCCATTTACATTCCTATACCTTTTATAGAATCATAGCATCATAGAATAGTTAGGGTTGGAAAGGATTAAGATCATCTAGTTCCAGCCCCCCTGCCCTTTGTGTATTTTCTTTACTTATTCTAGCTACTTGTTTTTCTTTGGGTTTGTTTTTTTTGGGTTTTTTTTGATTGTAAATTCTAAGGAGTGAAGACCTGTCAGGGAAACAGTAACTTCATGGCATGGCTGTAGACTTTTATCTTGATTGAGAATGTACTAGGAATATACAGTCTTAATGGTTAATTAGATACTGACTTCATAGGAAATCTGTCTTTCTGTTTCTGTTTGTATGCAGAGTTGTAATTGATGGATACCCTGTAACAACAAACCAAGTAAACCTGTTGGAATCAGCTAGGATAATTCCAATGAAGATCTTTGAGTTAGAAATGGATACAAAGGAAGTGTTCAGAAGAGCACTGTTGGATAAGGAAAGCATGAATAGGTAGTGATGCTCCATGATACCAATATTTTTACCCACACAATATTGTAATTTCTCTGTTTATGTGCCTCAAGTGCTATACCCAGAGAGGCTGTATCTAAGCTGGTGCATAACCCAGCTGTCTCCAAAATCCACATATGGGAAGATGTGGGCACCAGTCTCTGCATTTTAACACACTGATTTCCATAGACCAGAAACGAAGACATAAGGAATTTGTGGCATGCTCTGTCCAGATCTGCCGATGGTATAATTGAGGTCACAGATGTGCACTGTTTAGTTAAACCAGTTTTAATGAAACCATACATTAGAAATGTTACTAGTTCACTCCGCTGAAGTTTATTATTCATCAATTCAATTATTACCATCATAAGGGAAATTGATACTTCATCTAATAAGCTCTCTTTTCAGTCTTAAGTTCTTTTTAAAAGATGAAAATAATATATATTTTAATAATGTATACAATTCGTGAGTTACTCATCCAAACCTTTCCATTCAACTCAGTCCCTTCTTTGTTTGTCTAACGAGATAAAAAGATTCTGGTTAAAAGAGCTGTTGGTTGTTTTTGAAGAAGAGTAGTAAGTAGTTTATAAATGGACAGAGAACTAATAAGAACAGAATATTCACCTTAAAATTAAATTGTGTGAGAACCTGGTTCTCATTAGAGGAAGTGTTTCTAAGAAGTTCCAGATAACTTAGAGCATTATTGCATGTCTCCTTCATTTTGCCTCTTTCTTTTTATCAAATAATCAGTACAATGCTTACGTGTTTACTGAAAGCCTAAAGACTATTTCCATTGCAAAAAAAAAAAAAAATTAATGCTGTCTTTTTAAAAGTATTTACTTCAAACTTTTCATTTTAAATCCCAAACTAATTACATTTCGTTGGCTTAAATACAAATAAAACGTGCACTATCAGATACTTCTCAAAGGTACAAATTACAGCAAAATTAATCCTATTAAAACAGAAGGTTTTTTTGGTTTGCTTTTTTTTGGCATTATTTAAATTAAGAACCAGAACAGCAAATGCTCCATTGTTTTAGTAAAAATTTCTTTCCTGGTCTTGCATAATATTTTTAGTGGTCAGATGGATTATTTTAATTTTAGTATATGTAAATATGACAGACAATTTTCAAAATATATCCAAGGACTGTGGCTAATTCTTGATTTCAAACACTGGCACAATTCAAAACCAAGCCTGTTTTTCATTAACAACTGACTTCCATTTAAAAAGTCACACAGCATTTTGTCTAGGATACCATTTAATGGTGTATCAGTAATGTGTGTCAGTTAATATGTGCTGATACAGTCCAAATCCTTTATGGAATTATTGATTTGTATCTGGGACTTAAATGGCAAAAGTTTTGTTCTTTGTTTCTGAACAGAGCTGTCTGATCAGAAGTGTTACCATAACAGTCTCAATGAGAAATTTGTATTTCTCAAATACCTTCTACAGAGTCAAATAAGCAGAATTTTGTAAATAGGACTTAAAGTGAACTCTAGAATTTGCACATGAAATTCAATTAAATTATCTAATCTTCATACTTAAATCAGTGTTATTTTTCATTGTCTTCAGGCCTCCCTACCCTGAACATGACAGCTCACAGATTCTAACTATTAAAAAATCCTGCTATGAACAGCACATTAATGCAATCAGAACTTACTATACAAAGGAGCATCAGAACTGGTGTGTGATTGATGCTTTTCGGAGCAAGTGGTGGGTCTGGAACAAAGTACTGCAGGAAGTTCAAGTGGTTGTTAAAACAATACAGATATACCTGGAAAGAATAAGAGAAGGTAAAAGAAAAAACGTTTCTCAGAACAGTATTTGTTTCTTTAAGAAGCTCCAATGTAATGAGTGCATTTCAACTTCAACTTGCTTTGGACGAAGCTAATTCTTGAGCACATACATAGCCTCAAATTCTCCAATCTCATCTGCAAAGATCTTGAAGAGATCTCTTTTTGAAAAGAGTAAAGACAAAACCAACTACAGGACAGTCTGAGGTCACTCTCCAAAGAATGGCATAACAGAATACAGCTGAAAGATGTCACGGGTCTCATGGTCCATTGCAGGTTCCTCAACATTCAGTGATAAATCACAAAGGATACCTCAAAGTATACAAGGGGGACTATAACTTGCAGCTTCACTTAAGTGTCAGTGGAGGAAGATGGAAGGAAGGAGAAAATGTTAAGAATAAGTTTGGAATTCAGGTTAAATATTCCATCCAAGTTAAATTCTGTGCTGTGGAAAAACACTTTGGTCTAAAATGACACTTTCCACTTGAATTTTGTGTGTCAGCATTGGTCAGGTTTAAACATACCTGTGCCTCTGAAGGGCAAAAATACTTCCTTATCTTATACTTACCTTCTAGTTTTAACTTTTACAGCTCTGTGGCTGCAACCTTCTTAAAAGTCATAAGCAAAAAAAACCAAACCACTTTTTCACATCAAGCTTGAGAAGCATAATTTTAAAATAGTTTGGTTTTTGTATGACATTTTATTCAAGATTTTGAATATATATCATCCAGATAGACTGCAGCACTTGCAAGACATGGATGAGTAAAGGGGAGGCTTTTAGCACACCTTGTACACTTTTTCACCAATATAAAGGAATAAAATAATAGTTGAAATGTTCCTTAACAACAGAAACAATTAAAACAATCAATAATAAATAAAACTGTGACAGGGAAAACAGTGTAAGTTAAGCATACAGAGTATCCCACATTACTAATAAGTGCTAGAAAAATGTTATTAATTGGTAAAATGGGTTGCAACTTCATTTTATTATCAATCTATAAAAATTGCTGGTTTAATTCTCATTATTTTATATCATTTTCACATGATGAATTGCAGTATCTTCCAAACTGTGACATTTATGAATAAAAAATGTTTTCTGTTTCTACATCTTTCATTAATAAAACATTGTTTTTATTACCAGGCAAAGCAGCCAGCATTGCTGACTTATGTATCACTCCCGAAGAGCTGCAGCATCGGCTGGGGGAGTTTGGACAGTACTGCCCTGTAAGCCTTGCAGAAAAGGGCGAACTGGTCGACTGCTCTATAACATCATCACTGCAGTTTGCTGCAGAATTTCAAGGACACTATTACAAAATGGCTTCACAGGGAGAACTGGATGTAAGTGTCAAAAAGCAGGTCAGGAGGGGATTACTGGAAAAGGGAACATTGTTGCCTAGATTCTTTGATTGCAGCAGAGAGCCCATTAAAACCAAAGCTCCTCTTAAAATTATCATAGACCAAACATTCATTTTAAAGCAATCATTCCCTCCTTTCTCCATCTGTTTTGGGGAGACTGGGGGTAGAGAGTGGCTAATGATAGCAATGGATAGTGGGTGGATAGTAATGAGTTCAACGGAGAGTGGGTTGGGAAAGAAATTACTTACCTGAAAGCAGCAGCAGCAGTGCCAGCACACTAAGAGAGGTGCTATACAAGAAACAAGTATCTAAATTATGTGAGCCAGTCCTCTGGAGTTTTGACTTAAAAGTCTTAACAGTGCTTTTTTCATTATAAAATCATTTCATTCCTTTTTCTACAGAAATTCTTGAGCAGACCAGAGGTTTATGTGTCACCACTGGCACCTCACCCTCTCCCACCCTCAGATATGCTACCAAAGAAACTGACTGCAGCAGAAGTGAAGGCCTCATTCCCTGTAAGTGCTCAAATGCACGGATGCTGTCCAGTCACTTACCTGGATGGAAAACAGAGGTACATCACTGTAGTTTTCATAATCTGAATTACAGGCTATGTGTCCTACATTAACACAGAGTGTTCAGGGTTTGGACAGGAAAAGCAATTACTATTCTCTATATTGTGCCTGTGGCTTTGGAAATCAATGTAGAATCACCTTTGAAACTCATACAGCTACAAGTTCTACAAGGATCTGTGTTGCCTTACTGAGTTTTGTGATTAAGACTCCTTGGGTATAGTTTGTTTTCCGTATCATAAGCCTTCAGAAGTTTAGACAAAACACAGAAAAACTCTGTAGATGCAAAACTACCTATTATGATTTTCATAAGAGATTAAAAAAGTTCCACCACTGATTTCCTCAGTGTGCAGGAATTTTTCATCAAGGTAGAAGAGTAAGTCAATTCTATGCTGTCCCTTCTTAATCTCCTGAAGAACTACGATTGGCATTTTTACTAGAAGAGCTCTAAAGAAACACAATAAAAGCCCCATAATAAGCAGATTTTTAGGCAGAAACTCTCAGATTTTGAGCTTTGTAAGCGTCAGTCACGTTGTGGAAACTTGGAGGATCCAGTTGCTATTTTTTTGCAGTTCCTATATTTGCTAAATTACCGAAAGCTCCCAGTACCTCTTTAATTTACATCGCACAAATGATGTTTTACATTTCCTGTGAATTAATACTCTTTCTTGCTCTGTCCCCTCAGATACGAAGCTTTGGTGCCTGGCAACATTGAGTACTCAGCAAAATATAAAGAGAAGATATATGTTTTTGAAAGTGAAGAAAAACTTCTTAAGTTTATGAGGTAAATATACTAACTTTTAACAATTTTTAATCATGTCACTGTTTACACATCTGAAAAGTGCTTATTTTTTATCTCTTTAGGTTACCAGAAAAGTACTGGAATCTAAAGCTTCCATGTAAATGCCCTCCAGTAAAGGAGCCACTACTACTCACTGCGCTTCCTTTGCCTGGATACCTTGAACAGGCCAGTTTTTGCTTTTCTATTTTAAAAGAGAATTTTGCAATGTATCGTGTATCCCACCCAGTTTATTTCATTTTTAATGCAATATAAGTCTTACGTTTATTATGGGATGATTAAATTGAAAAATGTGTATTTACAATTGAGAGTATTTTTTTTAAGCTTTATAATAGTATATATTTGTAGCTTTAATGGAAAAAATGCAAGACCATCAGAGGAGAATAACAAACAGTATCATACAATGGATTTTCTGACTCTGTTGTTTTTCATATATTGTAAGATTACATTTTGCTTTGATTTTTAAAACCAGGATAGACACAAGTCTATCTGGAATCATTTAAGCATAGTGGGTTACATTTTGAGCCATGAGCATGAAAGAAAAAATGATTTATATTGACTTCCCTCTGTATTTTATACTATTTCTTATCTTCTACAATTCACAACTTAGATAACATCCTGTACTATTAGATTTGAATGACAACAGGATCAAGCTTTAACATTTCTGTAATGGTCTTCTATAACTGTTTTCTTTCTTTAGGGAGTAGCAACTTCTCTAATAAAAGCTCTTAATGAAGTAGGCTGCTTAAAGCCAAAGTTTCCATTCCTAAGTGTAAAAAAAACTGCTCTGCTGTTTGTCGCCTGCCATTTAAAAGGTAGAGTATAAACAGAGTATAAATAATATGCTATTAAAAATAATGAATTATATAAACGTAGTAAATCATTGGATACAACACAGATAATCAATTTCAGTAGTTCTCTTATGTGCAACTTGAGAAAATACTATTATATACTAATTTAAGTACAAAGTGCCAAGTTTCTTGGAGATGTGAACTTAGAGAAAGGAAGGAAAATAAGGTTAATAGGATAAGTAGATAGGTAAGTGATCTCTCACAAATCATGCGACTTAATGACATTTTATCACCAACACCCTAGTGACCTTAAAAATTCTAACGTGCATTTTTGGGAGTTTTTAAACAGAAAGTAAAATGTTATAATCTGGACGGTACTACATTTTAAACTAGTCACATACAACCTGTATTGTCTTTAAAACTGACTAAAACTACTGTAATAAAAAGCAGCTGAAATACTGTCTGAGGAACAGTTCAGGTGTCTCAATGTTTGCCTTTCTTCAGCTGTATCAGGTGGTCAAATAAAACTTATTAACAAGCCTTGCCTTGCAGATAACTTGAAGAAAGCTTTCTGATCATACACATCAACACCACCACATCAGCTAAATATGTAAATGGGAGGTCTAATTGTACTGAAAAACAGCCTAAGTGCACATATAACACCTGTTTCCAAAAAAGCCTTTCTTTTCCATGTAAACACCAAGTTAACACAGTATGAAAAAATGGGTATTCTTGCAGGTTTAATTAGATTTTTAAGTTTTCAGCACAAAAAAAAAATGAAATGTTATTTATCAGTCTGCTTCTTGGTGAAATTATCTGGGAATATGTGAATACTAATGTGATTCAGACTATCATTATGTTGATTATTTTTAACTTCTTTATTAGTTAATCAACAGTCCAACTGACCTTACTTTTCCGTAGCAAAGATAGGGAGTCAAAAACTAAAATCAAGTGGTTTATACTCAACCCACAAAATAATGACAAACACCTCATGGGGCTAGCAGAGGTTAAGACTGCTCTGCTGAGGGAAGTCATTTGAGCTTTTTCGCCTGTGTTCATATTTGGTGGTGTTTTGTTTTTTTTTTTTTAGAATTTTGTTTGTTTGCTTGTTTGCAGTCCAAGATAGCAGTTGCAGACAATAATCTTTAATAATTTGCTATTACCCTGAACAGTGACAGCTTTCTGGATTTCAACAGCCTAGTTTGCAGCTGTGCTGTACCTTTGGTCAGTTTCCAGTACTGCTGGAGACTTCTGAAGCACAACTTCCATTTCTTCAACCTACCAGTTTTGACAATGTGTTCAGTGGATGAACTTTACCTTGCCTTTTAGTATTCCACATTTTTAATTATTCTTTTAGATAATTCTTTTAGAGAAGCTTGGCTGCCCCATCCCTGGCAGTGTTCAAGGCCAGGTTGGATGGGGCTTGGAGCAACCTGGTCTAGTGGAAGGTATCCCTGCCCGTGGCAGGAGGG